CCCCCCCCCCCCCCCTTCTCTGTCCCCTCCCCGCTAACCCCGCCACCAGATTCACCGTCAACTGCATCACCCACCGCGACGCGGCCATCCTCCCCGTCTCGGCCTGCGGCCGCCTCACCGACGAGACGCACACGCTCATCGGCTCGCTCGCGGCAGCCGAGATCCGGCAGCTATGCCAAGACGCGGGCCTGCCCGTCCTCGACGCCTTCGCGCCCTTCGAGTCGCAAGTGACGTGGTGCGCCCTGCGCATCGACACGGCGCTGCTGCCCCAGCTCGACCTCACCCCCTCCCTGCTCCGCAAGAAAATCGGCGACCTCGTCTTCGCGCACAAGGCGGGCCACACGATCCATCGCATCGTGCTGGTGGGGGAGGATGTCGATGTTTATGATGGGCGGGATGTGTTATGGGCGTTTAGCACGCGGTGCAGGCCCGGGGATGACGAGACGTTTTGGGGGGAGGGCGACGGCGTGAGGGCGTTCCCGTTGATTCCGTATAATGGGCATGGCTGGCACGATCCGGCGAGGGGGGGCAAGGTGGTGAGCGATGCGTTGATGCCGGTGGAGTATCGTGAGGGGCGGAGGGATTGGCGTGCTGCGAGCTTTGAGGAGAGTTATCCTGAGGGTGTGAGGAGGAAGGTGCTGGATGAGTGGGCGGGGATGGGGTTTGGGAAGGGAGGCGGTATGTGAAGCGTGGGTGATTGGGGTTTTTTTTGGCGCTGGTTGGGGTGAAGGGGGGTGTGAACTGCTTTGTGGCTGCATGGCGATGGCATCGTGGGGTTGCAAAGGGAAATAGGATTCGGGCCGCCCTTATGCGGTGGATATAGTAGGCGAAGGAGAATGTCTAGATAGCGAATGAGTGGATGCGTTCCACTTGTACGGGACTTCGAGTGCCTGTGAAAACTTCAGCAGCAGTGCCGGGCTGCTGGGTTGGAAATAGATGAGTTTAATGGCCCGAGAGATTGATGAGGCCGACATTGAGACAGACGAGTTCCACAATAGCAGACGCTGCAAGCAATCTACCTCATGGTTATAATCCGGAGCCGAAGTTATAAATCTGTCCACGCATAAGTTTGCTCAAGTGACGTCTGGCATATACCGCTGCCTTTGGGATGTTACGAACTCATTGCAACCCCCTCCTCATTTCCTGTATCCTCTACAGCATGCGGTGCAAAGGCAACAGCATCCCACTGCACAAGATGCTCCCAAGGCTCCAAGCTCGCGCCATCAAACAGCTTCTCCATCCCCTCCACCGCCCAAGCCTCGCTCAAACCCGCCGTCCCTCCCTCACCAAACCCGGGAAGCACATCCGCAAACAAGCCACCCATCTCCCCCCAGGCGTCATCCACCACCACCTCCGCACCGCACTCCACCGCACCACCCAAACTCCCTTCACCATCCACCAACTCCGGCGGCGTCGCCGAACAACCCAGCCCTCCGCTCCCCCTCTCCTCCTCCTCCTCCTCTACCCTCCTCCTCCTCCTCTCCCTCACCCCCGCCGCATACACCCCCGGCGTCACCCCAAACGCCCTCCTAAACACGCCATGCAAATACCTCGGCGCGCGCCCCACCTCCCCCGCCACAACCCCCCACTTGACCGCGCCCCCCTCCCTCTCCAGCACCGCCCGCGCCCACTCCGCCGCCCTCCTCCCGCCGCGATCCTCGCCCTTACCTGGTGAATCACCATCACCATCATCATCATCAACATCCGGCCGACACCGCTTGCACGCGCGGTATCCCGGGAGCGCGGCGGCGGCGCTGGCGGCGTCGTCGAAGAAGGCGACGTTGGCGCGGCGGGCGAGGCGCGCGGGGCACGTGGGGCGGCAGTAGATGCGCGTGGAGCGCACGGCGTAGACGAAGGAGGTGTGGGCGGCCGGGTCGCGGGTGGAGAGGGCGCGCCAGCGGGAGTGGGGGGTCGGGTAGGGGCGGTGTGGTGGGGGTGGTGGTGGTCCTGAGGTGGTGGTTGTGGTGGTGGTTGTGGTTGTGGTGGGGGGCATGGTTTTGTGGGTGGGAGCCGGGGGCGCTGCTTTTTTTTTCTTCTTTTTTTTTTTGGTGTGTGGTTTTGCGGCTCTGTTTGGTTGGAGAGGTTCGGGAGGCGGGTGGGAGGTCGACGGCGGTTGGTGGGGAGGCCGCTGTCTCGGGTCGTGGTGTGTGTATGCGCGATTGTTTATGAGAGAGCTTGTAGAGCGGAGAAGACGCGTAGCAGAGTTGGGAAGATGCGGCGGATGGTGATGTTGAGTGCTGGCGGATGAGATGATGTCGTGGGATGATAAGCTAACGGGCAGGCTGCTGTGGAACTGACCAATCAGCTCGCGACCAGGGTACCCGCCTACCGACACCGACACCCACCATCCTCTTACCGTCCAGGCACCGATGATAGCTTTTAATAGAATAAGCCGGTCCTCAGTCAACCGAGCAAACCGTGCCAAGCCCGCAAGTCTCATGGTAACCCCAAAGGCGACCGCGCCCAGCGCCGCCACCAGTCCAGCCAGCGCGCGCTTGCCGAAACTGGCATTTCGATTCACGCGGTCGCGCCACACCTTCCGAGCCCCCACACTCGCGCCTTCTCTACCCGACGATCGCATAGTCACATCAAGCCAGCTCTCTGCTCTCTCCCCCGTCTCTTCCACTCTTCCATCACAACCACCAACTATCTTCAGCCCCACAGCATACAAAGCAACAAACACACGCACAATCCAGAACACACATCTCACAACACACCCCCGCCCCAACCATGTCCCAGCAACCCAGTCCTCCCCGCGACGGCTCACCCTCCGTCAACACCCCACCAACACCCCCCGTCAACACCCCACCAACACCCACCGACGACAACCGCCTCCCCCCCCTCTGGCACCCCACGTCGCCCCCACCACCACCACCCGCCTCCGCCCCCAGCTCCCCCACCTACCCCCGCGCCCTCTACGACTTCATAACCACGACCCACGCCCGCACCGGCGGCGCGCTCGGCTCCCTCCTCGACGTCGGGTGCGGCGGCGCGGGCGAAGTGCTGGAGGCGCTGGCGCCGCGCTTCGAGCAGGCGCTCGGCGTCGGCAAAGGGTTCGAGTACGACGCGGCGGGCACGCGGCTGGCGGACGCGGAGGTGCGGACGCGGACGGGGCGCGCGGTGCGGCGGAAGTGCGGGTTGCCGGACAGGCTGGTCGCGGACGCCGGCGACGGCGTCGGGGAGTGGGATTTGGTCGTCGTGGCGGACCTGGTGGGTTGACGTGTGCAGGCTGTGGTGGTGGTGGGAGGGGCGAGGCGAGTTCGCTTGCTTCTCCTCCTGACTTATCCCCCTCTTCTGGTCGTTTTTTTTTTGTGCTGTGCTGCGGCATGTCGGTCGGAAGAGTAAAAAAAGAGTGGGCGGGGGAGGGAGAGGGAAGGGGTTTGTTTGTTTGCTGACAAGAGCGGTGTGTGACAGGTGCATCGTTTGTATATGAGGAGGTTCTGGCGGCAAGCCAGGCGGCTGCTCAAGCCAGGCGGCAGCGTTGCCATCTTCGCCAAATGCAGATACGTCTTCCGTAAGTTTTGTCGTCCCTCATCCTCCCAGCAGCCTGAAGATTTGCGACTGGAATCTGACCGTCCGTTGATGCCAGACCCTTCCATGCCCGAAGCCGAGAGATTGCAAAATATCTACGACGAGTTTTTGGATCACACAGTGAGCTATTGGGAGCCGTTCAACTACAAAGCCACCCGCGAATTTTACCGAGACTTCACCCTTCCGTGGAGTCGCGGTGTCGGTGCTTCGCAGTATTTCCCGGAAGAGCTGTTCGAGCGGCATACGTGGAACGTCAAAGGCGCGCTGGATGGAGAGGGTGGCGAGGACTTCTTCGGTGGCAGCCAGACGCTCACATACCGTCAGCTTGAAGAACTTGTCGAAAATACAGACCCAGTGCGGCGGATGAGGAAGGCCAGGGCTGACCTGGAGGGAACGCCGCGCGACCCTGTTAAGAATCTGATCTTCGCCTTAAAGGCAGTTACTGGGGCTGGGGCGGAGCTTAGGGTGGGTGCGGGATATTGTTTACTATTCTTCAAGCGGAAATGAGGATCGGAAACGGCATGAAGAATGCATGCGAAACGGTTAAAGGAGCCGGTATTTTGACTCGGAGCATCGTTTGACTGAGAGCAAAGACTGGGAGGGCAACTGGAGAGGCTTATTCCGGTAGACTGCATTCGTACCGTTAACATTCCTTGAGTCCATATTCACTTTTGCTCGACACAAGCGAAGTGCTACTTTTCTCGTGCCCCTTTCCGCGTAAATGCGCATCACATTACGACAAATCTAATAAACCGTTCTACGGGAAAAAGAAAAAACGCAGGAACAATGAAGACAAGACGGGCAGGCAGGCCGCTACACCTGCTCCAAATCGCTATCTCGCCGCGCCTCGACACGCTCCCTCGAGTTCTGCCTCTGGATGTCGCGGTCGACGAAGCGCTTCATGCCCAGCCACGGACTGTTCACCGGACTCGGGCCGGTGAAGACGAGGGCGTCGTACAGGAAGCTGCCGGCAACGGCGCCGACAAAGGGCATGAGGAGGGGTATCCAGAAGTAGTAGCCGCCCGCCGTCCACACGTCGCGGGGGTAGCCCACGGCGCTGGAGAGGAGGCGGCCGGAGAAGTCGAGGGCGGGGTTGACGGCGCCGCTGCGGGTCGTGCACATCATCATCAGTGTTCGTTCTCAAGACAGGGAAAAGGAAGGAGCACGTACCCCGTCTCCCAGCCAAAGGAGACGCCGACGCCGTAGAACAGGAAGAACATGGCGAGGGGGAAAAAGTTGCCGCCGGCCTTGGAGATGCCGTTGTTGTAGTCGTCCTTGAGGGCGAAGACGACGGCGGTGATGAGGCCGGACGGGATGATGACGGAAAAGACCTGCGACGCGCGCGGCACGAACGTCTGCGGGTACGTGGCCATGATCTGCGCCGTGGCTTTGGTGGCGGGCGGCACGATGCGCTGGCCCGGCCCAGAGTACCAGTCGATGGCGGAGATGTAGTTGCCGTAGACCAGGGCGACGGCGATGAAGGCGCCGAGGAACTGCGCGAGCACGATCGAGGGGAATGATTTCCACGGGAGCCCGCGGAAGAGGCACGCGGTGAGGGTGATGGCCGGGTTGAGGTAGGAGCCGCTGTCGCCCGAGATGTAGATGCCGAGCATGACGCCGATGCCGGTGCTGTATAGTCAGGGAGGGGTGTTTAGTGATGGACGTGGCTCGGTAGGATTCTGTGATACGTACCCCCATGGCACCGACATGAACGAGCCGTAGCCAAAGCCGCCCGGGGCCGTCTCCATGCCGGCGCTGAGCACGGATTGCGCGATGCTGCCGTTGTAGAAGCACGACAGCACCATGACGCCCAGGAATTCAGCGAACGGCTCCTGCAGCGTCTGCCGTATTCGAGGCCACATCAGTTTCTCGGCGCCTGAGAAGTGGCGTTTGGGCGGTACGTTGTCATCGAGGCCGACGAGGGCGCGGGCGCTGCGTCGACGATGACGGGGCTGGCCATCGTCTCTGTTCGATGCAGAGGGCGAGAGGGGCGGCCCCTTGTAGTGCGGCGAGGTCGAATCCCGTCTTGAGTCAGGCTCGATCGGGCTGACGGTGTCGGGAGAATCCACGTCCCATCTGAGGGTGGTTTCGGGCGGCATGATGGGCGCGGGTGTTGCGGTTGGTGGTTTTGACTCGAGCAACACGGGAAAGTCTTAAGTAGATGCGATTCCTGCGCATTTGCCCCAGGCTTTGGCCATGGGAAAATTTTCGGGGGGGCGCACTTTTCGCATATTTTCGCGGTGACGTCTCGTTTCCCGATGACGACACATCTGGGATCATCAGGATCGGTATTGTGTTGGCACATCGGACCTTCTGCGAAACGTCAGAGATCAGATAGCCGTTTGAGACCCACATGCACGGAGCGAACGCCGGTGGCGAGGCTCTGCAACCCAAATTAATGCCCAGTCTCCCTGTCTTGCTGCTGCATGGCCGCATCCAGACTTCGTTTAGGGGTGTCATCCCATCGTCATCCTCGAACTGCACTCAGGCGACGGCTCGGGTGGTCGATGATCAGCATATTTCTTTTGTATGCTGGGGCTGCTGCTTCACTGCCTTGGCACTGCCCCGGAACATCCGATGCTGGTGATGGATGCGTGGTGCCCTGGGAAGCCAGCCGTTCGTCCCGAAACATAGAGACGTGCGTTTTTGGTGGGTCAAATAGGTAATTCCTCGCTTAACGCAACCAGTCAGGGAGAGACTCACCGCTGGATCCTAGGGTGAGTGTTGATTGGCTGATGTGCTAGGTATTTCCTAGTGACTGGAACGGGATGCGTTTCTGGTTCGGGGAAAAAGCTCACCCGTCGATGACGACGTCTCCCCGGTGAAACGAACAACCCAGACAACGAAACAGAATTGCAACATCACCTCTGTATTTAGGCCAAAGCTGAATGCTCTTCCAACGCTTCGATTAAGACCAATTTTCCCTCCGCGACTTCTGCCCGAAAAACGACCACTGGACACATTACCTGCACCAGGCGCAAAGCGAAACAGCATGCAGCATATTGTGCATGCGCTGCCTTGATGTTGGCAAGATTTCGGAGTATGTTCCGGTAGCCGCACGCTCCACATTTCGGTGGAGAACCTACACGTCGTCAGACCCAGGTATGCACCGTTTTAGGAGTGTTTGCCGAGTTTCATGCATATACACAGTAGGTGGCCTCGTGAGTTGGCCATCTGCGGCAGTGAATGGTTTTTCCTGGAGACAGGAGCCACAAAGGAAATGTATCAAAGAAAAATTCCCCCGAGCCTCAACTGCATAACACAATCATCTCACTTACATGTCAAATCTTCTTCCTCAGCTTCCTCTCCCGAAAACACATCCCCAACGGCGGCGGCGCCAACGTCCACATAGCCTTCATATCCCTCTCAAAATCCTTCCCATCCTGCGCCGACGCAAAGCGGATATCATACCGCAACGCCAACCGCCCCAGCACGCTCCTCATCTCCCAATACGCAAGCTGCTTCCCCGCGCACCCAAACATCCCTAAGCCAGGCCACACGCATCAGCAACAACAACAACAACAAAACCCCAGGAACACGCATATCACACAGCGACTCACCAACCCAAAACGTGAACCAAGCCCTCCTCTCCCTCACCAGCCCCTCCACGCCCCCATCCTCCACCCTCATCCACCGCTCCGGCACCCACTCCTCCGGCCGCTCGAAATACCGCCCGTCCCGCTGCACCACCCACGGCGGCACCCACACGTGCACGTCCCCGGGGATGCGCAACGAGTCGTCGAGGCGCAGGCCCTCGGGCGGCGTGAGGCGCGGCGTGCCGCCGGGGAGCGGCGGGTGCAGGCGCAGCGTCTCGGTGATGACGGCGTCGAGGAGGGGCACGGATTTGGCGGCGTCGTGGGAGAAGGTGGTGGCGTCGCCGCCGCTGCTGTTGTCGCCGCCGCTGTTGTCGCCGCCGCTGTTGTCGCCGGGGCAGGCGGCGTCCATGGCGGCTTGGAGGCGGGCGTAGGTGGGCGGGTGCGCGGCGAGGTGGTAGAAGGCGGCTGTGAGGGCGGAGTGGGTCGTGTCGCTGTGGGGAGGGTTGAGTGGGTGGGAGAGAGGAGAAGGGGAGGCGGGACGTACGCGCCGGCGACGACGAGGGAGCGGCCGTCGGAGTGGAGGGCGGAGAGGGTGGGCGCGGCGGTGGGGCCGCCGGCGGCGAAGGCGCGGATGAGGAAGGTCATTACGTCGTTGGGTGGTGGGGGGGTGGCGGATTCTGGATGGCTTTGGAGCGTCTGGCATGTCGGGCGGCGTCAGCGTAGGTCGGGCTGTGGTGCTTGCGGTCTTGAGGGAGGAAGGAAGGAAGGAAGGAAACGACAACCCACCGCCCTCTTCTCCTCCACCAGCCCGGCGCAGTAGTTTCGAAACAAGGCCATTGCGCCCGCATTCGCCAGGCCTGGCGTGTTGTGCAGCATGTTGATCAGCCACGGCACCGGAAACAGTACGCCCAGCGCACGCCTCGACTCGCGCAGCCCTTTGATCGCCGGGTTCTCCTTGGTGGCGTGCAGGCTGCCGAAGTCTTTTCCGAAGGCGACGACGCCCATCAGGTCGTAGGTGAGCATGGCGATCCACTGGGTCGCGTTGATGCGCTGGCCGCGGTCGCAGGCGATCTGGTCGAGGAAGAGGCCGATGGTGGCTTGCATGTCGGCGTCGTACTTGGCGACTTCTGTAGTCGGGAATCACGAGAGTGAGTGAGCGAGTGTGGTGGGCCATGTCGTGTGCACCGTACCTGTCAGGCTGAGGCCTTTTTCCCACGGCTTTCGGCGATTGCGGTGGTCCTCGAGGTCCCGCGTCTCCAACATGCCGACACGCTTCCGGTTCCAGTCCGCTTGCTGGTAGAAAATGGGTTTACGGCAGCCCGCGATCTGAGGCAGGGCGGACGCGCGGGTGATGGAGAGCTCGCGGGGACCTTGTGGTGTCGCGTCAGCACACACACTTCGCTGCGATCCAGCTGCGGACCCTTGCGTACCGATCCGAACAACATCGCCGTGCTTTTTGTGGAGTTCTTCGAGCTTGAGGTGGTACTTGAACGCCTTGGAGGACTCGTACACGCTCCAGAGTCTGGTCAGCTTAGCCGCGAATGGGCCAGGAAAGCGGCGCAGTCGGTGGAAGAAAGCGCGGTAGATGAGGATGGAGACTGTCAGGCTCAGCGTGAAGCTCGTCGCGGTAGTTACGACGTCTTTTGCCGCGTCGACAGGAGTTGAATGGTACAGTCGAACGTCGACATAGAACATTCCCATCGCCGCTACAGCGAAGCAGCCCAGCATGTACCAGACAAGAACGTCAAGGATGTCAATATACTGGACGAATGCATGGAACGCCAGCCCGGCAACGGCCGATGCCAGCCAGAGGTTGGGCCTGTGTTTCTCGGGCGTGATCCCTTCCATTTCCGCACACTTTGGGAGGAAGTGATATGTTGAGAAAGAATCGATGAGGCGGGGCAGCGGGGAACTTAAGTCACCTGTTGTAGTACCCCGTGCTGTTACACCTTGCCCCGCCCTACCACACCCCTGGTGTCTTGTCCATGTAAGCACTAGCGCAGGTATATGCGATTGAGTGCAGGATAATCTACCTAGACTTACTACATCGGAAAGTAGTCCTTCATTCTTAACTTCCATAGCACTTTTGTATGCTGACTCTTGGCGTGTTTGGTTCCACCATCGTTCTCGAATGCATCGCAGATCTGGGGCAGTACCACCCCCCTGTCACACCTTGTCCACCTAATTTGTGGAGAATCAAAACACCACGTCCTCCCTCGCCGTCTCCACAACAGGTTCTCTTCTCCGACATGAGACCTTCTCAACCATTGTGAATACACCCCGAATGAGTCTGACGTAAGCAAGACGGCTCAGCGATACCTTCATCTCGAAACCAAATCAATAATACCATTCATTTCTATCACTTTGCAGGCTCTTTTCCGGTGGGCCGGCCTCCGTTTGGTACCCCAAGCAAGCCATGATGACATCATCTTGAAGCTAAAACCATGTTGCTCATTCTCGTCCTTCGACTGCCACTCGACAATACCGTCAGAGCTCGTCTCGTCGTTGTGCTTGCTGGACATACTCCGCGTTGGAGTAGAAACCGACCCCTTCCGCCCTCTCCCCAAACTTTCATCCCAGTAGCTCAGCCCACACGCCACGTTCCCAAGCGGATAAGCAAAGTCACAGCCATACAAGACATGTCTGTCTAGCTATGGAGATGGCTCTGGTAACGGCAATCCCTCACCCCGTTACTGTCGTAGTCCCCAACCACGACCTTGGTTTTTCAATCCTTCTCCGCCCAGAACTACGTTTCCCGCAGAGGATGGAAACTTTGACTACGCACTAAAGCAACCAAATCTTCCGTTCTCTCAGCTCTTTTTTTTGAACACCTGTAGACGTCATACTCCGTCTCCACGCGGCACCCGTCCTCATGATGGACAAACACTACCGAGAACAGAGCGTCGCCTCCCGCAAACCGTTCCCAAACCCAGTCAGCACCTCCAACTTCTCCGGCCCCATCACCTTCCTCGTCCACCCCAACACTCCCAACAGCCTCCCACAACCCTACTCGAACTCATACAACCCGAATTTCGTCAAATCACCTCCATACACCCTCGATATCCGCTCCACACCCAACCCTTCCCACCCACCCATCCCCGCACGACTAACTTCCTCAACCGCCGCCGTAACCCCGCCATAAAAGCGCTGCCGCTTTCAAGACACTGCCGAAGCGCGTCGGCTCCGTTGGTTGTTGTCTCCGCGAAGCCATTGGGTATAGGCGCTGAGATATGTATTTTCTTTTGCCATGATGGCGCATCAAGAGCGGTAGTGTCAAACTTAGATAATGTTGGGGCAAAGGTGCCGAGGCACTGCAGGAGAAGCAGTGGATGTAGTCTCGTTTTGGGAAAGCCCGAGAGTTGCACACTCGTGGTACAGGGCTCACTGGATGTTCTGAAGGGGATCTTGACGGTTGCCTGATCTGGCGTGGATCCTGAGTAAGAGATAACTCCAGGACCGCCACGTTTCAGTTTCACCTACAGCGTATAGCCATAATTACCTTCCCCCGAATAGTGCACCAAGTATCAGGGTGACCAAGCAAACAACTAACACTGTGACTGGATGTACTTGCAGAGCTAAACCAACGAATGAATTAAATCTTGCATTACCGGCAGTTGAATTGAAGAATCCAATATGCCACCGAAGTAACATTCACACAAGCTTGATCCTTGTCTCAGGAACAGATTCGAAAACTTTGCTTCCTCCGCTTTCCCATTCGATTGTTTTAAACACGCCAATCCGCCGGTATGCGTTGTCAGTAGCCGTGTAATGTAGGACCAGCCCGAATAGCTGCTTGCAAAGTCTGGGGCCGGCTCGGCTCCACTCTTCGTACAACGCAACTGCGAGTTCATCCATCTCTTCATAACCTAGACTGCTTGATACTAACAACATGAACAGGCCACTGTCCGCGCCCCATTTGCATCCTTCGCCCACTCCTTCATCGAAGACCTCTTCATCGGTCGATACGCAGTCCAAAAACCACTCCGCAATAAATGAACCAGAAAATTTAACGCGATAACGAGTTTCATAGAGTGGGGACAACGTAAATCTTTGGGCATGGTGCAGTTTCCCAGATACAAGCAGATGAGCATCTTTGATCCGTCCAAACGGGTTGAGACCATCAATTTGCGCATGCGCCTCGCAAATCGTAAGCTCCGGGTTTGTTTGCTCATACGTAATCCAACCTTTAACCGTTTGCAGGGACGCCCAGCTCCAAGAAGGTGCGATAAACAGGCCAGGCCTAGTCAGTTCCTGGATGAAGTTGGATAGACCGAGGATTGAATTTGGATCACCGGACAAGAAGCTCCTCCAGAGCAACCCCCGATGCAGGTCCGCTTCCCACAAACCAGCAATGTACCTGTCTCCAGTTCTATCTGCGATCATTGCGGCGAGTGCGGAGACGGCCGGGAAGCAATCTTGTGCGAAGGTCAGGGATCTGTGCGAATATTGATGTACAGAGTTGTACCAAACAGTGTAGAGATTCTGTTTTCCGCCTCGTCGAACCGACTGTTCGAGTTCATGGAACATGCTTTTGTTGACACTCCGGCCTGGCATTACACCGTCTTCCGCGCGATATTTACTATCACAGACATAGACGAACTTCTGCAGACTGCAGATCAGCCTCCTCGACGAGAATCTCTCTTCTTGAAAGGTCCACCCTCTGTGTTTCCATTCGCTCTCGTCGTAGGAATGCAGCCACGTGATAAGACTGTGGGTATCCCAGTCGTTATCAGCGAAGCGTGGCCATATTTCGTGCAACGAATAGCTCCCATGCACCTGAGGCTTGACTGAAGATTTGAAGGGAATCTCAATACTTTGCCTAGCCTGTGGAAGAAACCCCTCGTCGCAGGAGTTGACCAGAGCACACAAGGTGACGTGCGCATTTCGATATACTTCACTCATTGTCGTAGACTCCCTTTCCCAGTCCGAGGCATCATCTTGAATGATACACAGCGAGTCAATCCAGAGATAGCGGATACGCAACGACCGAGTCAATAGTATGGCATCTCTATATGTCGAGGGCATGGAATCCATGGGTATGCTTTTCAATCTATGCGAAATCGAGGAAGCCTCCGTTTTGAGAGGCAAACTTTCTTTTCCCCAGCAGTGACTGAGAGCTGCGTACGGTGTATCGAGAGCGACCGAGAGTGTTGGATCCGCAGCAGAGATGATAAGACGAGGGTCTTTGTCGAAATTTCTTCCACCTACGTCCAAAAGTCGAGTTGGAAGCTTGCTGATGGTGCTCTTGTGATTGCATTTCCAATGAGATTTGTGACACTTGTGCAACCATGATCTGAGCATATCTGCATTTTGGCCTGACAGAGGGTTGGTTTCCAATGGTCTGGCGCGTATTTTCAGCCATGAGGCGCATTCTCCTGAATAAAGATATCAGTATCTGCCTATTCACATCTGAGGCTAAACATACCTTCAGGGCACCCAACTTGGAAAGGAATTGTGACGGAATGAGCTAAAATTCCATTGCGGAACTCCATATTGATTCCAAGACAGCATAATCCTACTTCAAATCCCCAAGCATATTCCGCACCGGAAATGATGAGCTGTTGCGTTCCAAAGGTTTCTGCTTTCCGCTTGATGCTGTCTCGTCGAACAGCACGGACCAAGAGTGCGCAAAAGTTGCATCCTTTGCGTGAAGATTCAGATAAGATGGGGAGATCTGGTAGCTGGTCCGTCAAAGAGTAGTTGAGGGGAATGAAGCTGTCTGGAAAATCGTAGAAGTCGTCCCATGAAATGTAGCCTGAAGATGTTTCGTCTGCGCTGTTGTCCGAAGATAACTTATCCATGTTGCTACCCGAAGATATCGCGCCGTCGTTGTTGTCGGAAAATATGACGTCGTCGTCGCGGTTCCACAAGGCCTCGTCTGCATCGCTGTCTTGAGATATGTCGTCGTCCGAAGATTGCTCGTCGGGGTCGGGGAAAGGCGAAACGCATGCATCTCCGAAGAATTCCGGTGAAAGTCCAAATCTTCGGTCATCCAGCTTGAGAGCCTGACAGCGCTCGCACAGCGCTTCTCGGAGTTCCGAGTCTCCCAACTGTGGTGGTCCGCGCCGTTCGCCCGGTGAATCTGATCCATCGTGCGATGACGAACCTTTCACCGGTAGGGAACACACCTTGGGGTTGGGTTCTTCTCCATGCTGCTCCTGCATGTGGGACGCAGACACCAGATACAAAGATGTTCTGGCTGTAGTGGGCTTGGCGCACCTGGATGTTGACAGAAACGATCAACTCAGTGGAGCTCTGATGGGAGTGGGATTGACGGTCAGGGCGATTGCAAGAAGCCTTCAGCGAGGCTGATGAATACGTCGAGATTTACCCCGCTCCAGGCAGCAGCTTATGGCGACACAAAAGCACAGAGAGGGTCATACGGCTAAGCTGGAACTGCACGAGGCTGCAGAACATATCTCAAGCTAACTGGTTGTGGGCTCCGCTTGCCCAGCCACCGCAGCCTTCTGCAGAAACAGCGCACATGAGTCCATACGAGGCCCCAAAGGGCATTTGCTGTGATTCGCTGTGTGTGGCTGCATGCAGCACAAGACGGCCACCGAGGCTAGCAAACACCGTGATGCCGAAGAGCAGGATGAAGGACGACCATCAGCTGCTCTTACAGGCAGATCCTTGATTGTGCAGCCATTGCACGCGATTGGAAAGACATGACGCGTAAGCACAAATTTCCATAATCCTCCTTGGCTCATTGCAGAAGCAGATAAACCTCGTCGCATCACTGCGTCGGGAGAGGCCGCACATCGCCAGGATCCGCTGCACCCTCAAGCGGTGTACCCCATCCCCCGCCACCTGCAAGCGCCGTCGTCAGCATCCGTCCCATCCAACAAGTGTGCCAAGGAAAAAAAACGAGGTGGGGAGAAAGAAGAACGACTCACCAGGCGTACAAACGACAACGCGCTCCCCAGCCGCGACATCGACCACGGCCTTCCCCCCCAACGAAACCCACTCCTCGCCGCCGTCCTGCCCCCTCCTCACCCAATAATTCCTGCCCACCCCTCCATCCCCCCCACCCCCCATCCCATACGGACTGTACACCCTCCTCTCACTCAGAATGCTAAACCTCAACCCCCCCACCCTCGCCTCCACCTCCCTCACCACGCCCTCGCCGCCCCTCCACCTCCCCCTCCCCGCACTCCCCACCCTCACCCCCCACCTCCTCACCACCACCGGCGTCCGCCTCTCCACCACCTCCACGTCCGTCGTCTGCGTGTTCGTCGAATGCACCTGCACCGCGTCCGCCCCCGCCCACCCTTCCCCCGCCCCGCTCCCTCCCCCCAACGCCTCGCCGTAGTTCCACCCCGGCGCGACGGTCCCAGTTACTGGATCCAACCCGCCGGCGCCCCAGCCGAAGCTGTTGGCGCAGCCTTGGCTGGCGGCGCAGATGCCGAGTGCGCGCAGGATGACGTCGACGACGCGTTGGGAGGAGATGGTGGAGCCGCAGATGGCGAGGGGGGAGGTGGGGGAGAGGATGGAGCCGGGGCGGAGGCGGATGGTGATGGGGGCGAGGGCGCCTTGGTTGAGGGGGATGGATAGAGAGGAGGATGAGGAGGTGGTGGGGGACGAGGAGGTGGTGGTGGTGGGGGTGAGGAGCGTGCGGAGGGTGTAGATGATGGCGGAGTGGGTGATGCTGGGGGGGCAGTTCATGTTGCCGAGGGTTTGGGAGCCCGTTGTGGGGGCGGTGAAGTCGAAGGTTGCGGAGCCGGTGGCGGGGTGGATGGTGAGGTGGAGGGTGAGGGGGGTGCCGTCGTCGTAGAAGTCGGTGGCGGTGAGGAGGACGGGGGCGGAGGGCGGGGAGGAGGCGGGTTGGTGTTTGGCGGCGATGCGGCGGAGGAGGGCGCGCACGGCGTGCTCGGCGGTGCGTTGGATGGCGTACATGTATTTTTGGACGCGCGGGATGCCGGCCTCGGCGCACATGGAGTGCAGGAGGGTGATGCCGCGCTGGTTGGCGGCGATTTGGGCTTTGAGGTCCGAGATGTTGTCGTCGAGGCGGCGGGTGACGCTGCAGCCCGGCCCGTAGGAGACGACGTCGAGGAAGGCTTTGCGGACTGTTTGCTCGTCGAAGACGCCGCGGTGCACGATGCGGAGGGATTTCACGGCGAGTCCTTCCTGCCAGAGGAACTTGGAGTCGGGGACCATGCTTGTGATGCCGATGCCGCCGATGTCGGTGTGGTGCCCGCGGGAGGCGACGTAGAAGATGAGTTCGCCCGAGGCGAAGACGGGGGTGACGACGGTGAGGTCGGGCAGGTGCGTGCCGCCGCAGTCGGGGTGGTTGGTGAGTAAGACGTCGCCGGGTTGGAGCTTGCCGGCCCAGAGGGAGTGTTGATGTTGGATGGCGAATTGCATGGAGCCCAGGCTGTATCGTCGTCAGTGATGGGCAGCTCGCAAGGAGCTGGAGTGCTTACTGAATTGGGATGTGGGGAGCGTTGGCGACGAGCTTGCCGTCGGGGGTGAACAGGGCACAGGAGAAGTCGAGCCTCTCTTTGATCGAGGTACTGATGGATGTACGCTGCAGCGTGTTGCCCATCTGCTCTGCAATGGACATGAATCTGCTGGCGAAGGTGGAGAGCTCGACCGGGTTTATAGCAGAGTCCGCATCCAGGCCAGCCGTCTCTTTGCTGGCCAGATCGATGACGAGGTGCGAGTCGAGGACCGAAACCCTGCAGCCTGTTTCCACCAAGATTGTTTGCGTGTTGTCGATGACAAGCGCGGGGCCGGTGAAGGTTGACTTTGGTGACAGGCTGGCCAGCTCGTACACCGGCACGTCCTGCCAGCTGCCGTCGATGAAGACGTGTTTGGTAGCTGTCGTCTCCGGAAAAACACCGTCACCAATGTTTTGTAGCTCCTGGAAAATGGATGGGCGCGACACAGCTTCTTCTCTGCTCTTTCCGACCCCTCGGACCCTGATGGCGTCGACGACGATGGGACGCTTGGCCATCTCGAAAGCAAACTCACGCCGATGGGCTTCGACAAATGCCGTGCCGAAGTCATTGTCCTGCGGTTGCAGAATGGACAAGTTCGTGTCCGACCCTTCATACCGCATGCTCAGGTAGCATTCATGATCCACTAGCTCACTTTGCACTCCTTGAGCGATCAGTTCCGCCGTAGTCTGGGCTTTCAGCTCTTCAAAACTCGCAAGCACCGTGCCCAATACCTCTTCCGAGAAGGCGTACGCCGCGGGGACCGCCGTCTCAGACACGATGTCGGCCAAACCAATTCCGTACGCGGAGAGGATGGACGAGTACTTGTGGATGATAATCCTCGGCATGCCCAGAATCCGGGCGATGGCGCAGGCATGCTGGCCACCGGCGCCCCCGAAGCTGGCCAGGTTGTGCTTGCTGATGGCAAACCCCCTGGCCTCGGTGATGTTGCGGATCGGACGGCTCATGGTCTCGTTGGCCATGGCGAGGAAGCCGGAAGCCACGTCCTCGGGAGTCAGCTTGTTCTCCAGATTAGCGTTGATCTCGGCAGTCAGTTCGTGGAACTTTTGCTTCACGACGTCGACGTCAAGAGGCTCGTTTGCGTGCGGGCCGAAATAAGAAGGGAACTTCTCCGGCACGAGCCTGCCCAGAAACAGATTGGCATCTGTGATGGTGAGGGGGCCGCCTTTCCGGTACGACGCTGGGCCCGGGTGAGCACCGGCGCTCTGCAAGTGTTTAGCAGTGACCCATCTTGCACCGAACAACGAGACCTACCTCTGGGCCGACAACAAAAAGACCGTTTTTCCAGCTCAGGATGGATCCGCCGCCAGCCGCGACCGTCTTCACATCCAGCATGGGCGTCGTTATGGTAGTGCCGCTGATGGTGGTGTTGAAAACGTGCTCGAACATCTTGTCGAAGCGGCTGATGTCTGTACTTGTTCCTCCCTACTCGGGTCAGCCACATCCGGTCCTCCCATGCGGTACGTGAGCATACCATGTCGAATCCGACGACGGGAGTACCCTCAGACGGATCGTAGCATGTTCGGGCAATCGCGACGACTCCGCCGGCGGGCCCACTCAAGATGGCCTTCAGTCCGGTGAACTTCGAGGCCGCGCTGAGACCGCCGTCTGACTGCATAAAGTCGACCCTCTTTGGAAGAATGGAAAAACCAGAAATGAAGCCGTCCACATACTTCTTGACCGTTGGGGAGAGGTACGCATCCGCACATGCAGAGGTGGTGCGGTGCAGGATCTTGATGTTGGGACTCAGCTCCGAGGATAGCGAGACGTGCTCGAAGCCGATCTCGCGCGCAATCCGAGCAACTGCCTGTTCGTGATCTGATCGGGTGAGTGGCAGTCTCAATCCAGGAGAGTCGAGCTTGCAATCATACCAGGGAAGAGATAGGAGTGTATGAAGCCGATGGCCAAGGAGCGGAAGCCTTCATCGTAGAGGTGGCGAAGCTGTTCCCTGACGGCAGAGCTATCGAGTCTCTTCAGTATCCGGATGACCTCTCCGCTCGACGTCTTGACGAGGTCGGGGTCGGACAAGTCAATCTCGGCGGGATGGGGGTTGAGAACGTAGTCTTCGACAGTCACGCGTTCGGCAATCTCAATGACCTTGGAGTAGAGCACGCCCGGCTTGCGGATGTTGAGGTCAAACAGATCCGGTCTGGTCTGGTCCCCGATGCGACAGATGTCCCGAAAGCCCTCGGTGGTCAGCAGGGCGAAGCGCTCTCCCTTGCGTTCCAGCAGGGCACTGTCGCCGGGTCAGTAACGGGTGGATCGATGGAGTGGCTGGCTGACTTTGTGGCCACGGTGGTTCCAATTCTCACTGATTCGATCAGACTACCGTCGATGGGTTGGCCCTTGGGTATCGGCTGTCCAGAGAGCTGCTCCAGCACCCGTCTGATGCCTTCGGTTGGTGCGTCTGGATAAGACGCAGGGTCGACGGACAAGAGCTTGAAGACGATCTCTTTGCCGTCGGCCGTGTGCGCCCATACATCGCAGAAGGTGCCACCGCGGTCTGGTAGGCGAATGCGATCAGCACAATGCTCACAGCCAATCACAGTCACACGACTGACCAATGGTGATAGAAACAGGCGGCATGGACGGCATGGCTGCGGAAACGGCTGTGTGCGATGAGACAGTTTCACAGGACTCAGACAGTAATAAGTCCCTCCCCGGCCAGGACGGTTTCCGCAACGGGTCAGTCGCCCGCTTTACGGTGCATCGTCTCCAGCCATGATTTTTCGATTTTTCGGGCGGGATCCGCATCTCACGAGGCTGGCTCAATGCGGGCGGCATGCCATCGGGTCGGCTTCTTGCGTGATAGCCGATCTCGGACCACCATCTGCCCGGCACCTCCCATTCTTCTATCCATCTGCCTACTGTTTCAGAAGCTCCCTCACCGCTTGCAAGAATTCAGCATTCTTCTCTACCTGGACCGAATGGTTCGCTCCGGGAATGACCAGCAATCGCGAACCCTGAATCTTTTCCGCAATGATGCTTGACTGGCCTGTAGCATTTTACATCAGCGGCCCATACGGCTTGACTCATGCATGAAGACTTACTCGGCGGACAAATCCAATCCTGATCCCCGACGACGATCAAAGTCTTAGCCGTCACTTTGTGCAGCTCGTCCCGGTAATCAAAGTACTTTTCCTGCTCCGAGTACAAGGCATCTGCACCGTCGCTTTAGTCTTCGCCATCCCGCACACACACCATGCCAACTTACTGTGAGTTTCTGCACGGAAGACGGTATCACGAATTTTCTTCAGCCCCGCGTCGGCGTCGTACGTCTCGACATACAGCGGGTTAAGCGCGAAGATGATAAGCCTGAACTCGTCATCGTCCTCAAACGCCGAAAAGACTTTATGCACCATCTCTATCGAAGCATTCGGAGCCTTGTGCAGCCGTGCTGCGAACGTGCTCAAAGCTTCTTCTTCATCTGGCAGCCAGCCAAGTCAGCACAACAGCTACTCCTTCGGAACATTGCCAGCTTCTCACGGTGATGCGACGGCGCCGTCCCGCGCAGTACCAGATGCGACACCTTATTAGAATACGTTATAGCGTACTGTCCAACATCAGCAGTCCATCCCCAATGGAAATAGAAACAACACACCTGCTGCGCAAGGTACCCCCCAAAGCTCCCGCCCGCAACCACGGCCTTCCCCTCCTCCCCGGCAAAGTGCCGTCTGAACGCGTCGATGTCGTCGACCAGCTGCGCGAACGTGTACGGCGGCGAGCACGAGCTGCGGCCGTGGCCGCGGTAGTCGAAGCCCAGGACGCGGTAGCCGTCGCCATGGTCGGCGAGCGGCTTGTACGCGCTGAAATCCGAGCGGTGATCACCTGCAGGGATGGGTCGTAAGTGGCGGGAAGCATTGCTTCAGTCGAATTTATTTTTCTACGTACCAAAGCCTCGTCCTCCGTGGAGCAGGATGATGAGCCGGCCGCCGGGTGGCCCGGCGATGCTATAGTTGAAGTCGGCTCCGTTGAGCTCGATGCGCGGCATTGTTCGCTTCTCTGCCGAAGTGCTGTTTGAGTGGCAAATAGGAAGACGAATGCTAGAGGTTTAAATGATGCGTCTCGGTGGAGTGTGACTGCCCCACTCTTGCTTCTTCCCTGCACCGAGCGCCCGATTGCACCATTCATCTCCTGCCTTTCTGCACGCCAAGACGTAAGGTGGTACTGTAGCAGCAGATCCGTCGCGTTGGTGCTACAAAAGGGATCGGGTTGGTCCACCAGCTCACCCTGCTCTTCTTACTATCCGCCATGGGAATCTTCACCAACTTGAAGCCGCGTCCCAATCCGGCCCGGCCTTCGATCTGGCACTGGCATGAGCCGGGCACGAGCAAGGAGGAAAAATAGCTGATCCGCAAGCTGGACATTTTCATCTTGACGTATAGCTGTTTGGTGAGTTGGCCGTCTCTTCCCTGCTGTCCTCCCACCCGAAACTGACCCTACAGACCTTCTTCATCAAATACCTCGACCAAACCAACATTTCCTCCGCCTACGTCTCCGGCATGAAAGAAGAGCTCGGCCTATGTTCGTAACCTTCCCCACCGTATCACACCCCCATCCCCTTCCCCAAAAGAGAAGAACCAAAAAGAAGAAAAAAAAAAAAGGAGCCGCCGCCGCCGCTCCGCCAACAACCACCCACCCACCCCGACTAACCCCCTCTCCCTCCCCCTCCTAGACGGCAACGAGCTCAACCTCATGCAAACCTACTACAACATCGGCTACATCCTCGGCGCGCCCCTCTCCAACACTCTCCTCACCCTCACCCGGCCCCGCCTGCACCTCCCCGCCTGCCTCCTCACGTGGTCCCTCTTCGTGCTCGGCCTGTACCGCGTCTCCACGCCCGCGCAGATCTACACGCTCCGCTTCTTCATCGGCTTCTTCGAGTCGGCGGCCCTGCCGGGCTTGCACTACGTCATCGGGTCGTGGTACCGGCGCAGCGAGCTGGGGCGGCGCAGCGCGCTGTTCGTCATCTCGGGCGTGCTGGGGCAGATGTTTTCCGGGTATCTGCAGAGCGGGCTGTATGCGGGGATGGAGGGGGTGGGCGGGATGAGTGCGTGGCGGTGGTTGTTTGTGTTTGATTTCGTGTTGGCGGTGCCGGTCGTGGCGTTTGGGGTGGGGTGTTTTCCGGATACGCCGAAGACGACGGGGGCGTGGTGGTTGAATGGGTGGGAGAGGGCGAGGGCGGTGGAGAGGATGGAGGAGGAGGGGAGGGGGGAGGGTCAGGGGGAGAAGGCGAGGTTGGATTGGGGGGCGGTGAAGAGGGTGGCGGGGAGTTGGCAGGTGTATGCGTTCTGTGTGGCTTGGAGGTGAGTTTTTTTTTTTCTTGGTTCTTCCCTCTTCCTCTCTCCCTCTACTTTTCTTTTGTTTTCGCAGGAAGCTTGCCAGGTCGATGACTTCGTAATCCCCTACTGACGACGACTCCACCCCAGTCTCTGGTCCCTGACCTGCGGCTCCAACGTCCAAACCTGGATGGCCCTCTGGCTCAAGTCCGAAAAGAACGCAGACGGCTCCTCCAAATACACCGTCCCCCAAATCAACAACATCCCCACCGTCGTCGGCGCCGTCGTACGTGATTCCCCCCCTCCCAAAAAAAGAAAAAAGAAAAACTAACCCCCCTCCCCCCAGAACTTCATCTTCATGACCACCACCGGCCTCGCCGCCGACGCCCTCGACTCGCGCGCGCCCATCACCCTCCTCGTCGGCCTCCTCATGACCTTCACCTACACCGTCTACGTCATCTGGCCGTCGTCGACCGCGCTCAAAATGGCCGCCTTCTTCCTGCAGGGCTGCTACGGCTGCTTCTCGCCGCTGCTGGCCGGCTGGGTCAACGCGGCGTGCGGCGCCGACCGGCAGCTGCGCGCGTTTACCATGGCCGCGATGATGAGCGTCGGGCAGGCGTGCGCGACGCCGGCGTCGCAGTTTTTGTTTCCCGCGAGCGAGGCGCCGGCGTATAGGGGGACGCGGGGGTATGCGGTGGGGTTGGGGTTTGTGGTGGGGTTGACGGGGTGGTGTGGGGTTGTGTTGGGGGCGGTGGAGAGGCGGTGGGGTGGGAAGAAGGAGGGGGAGGGGGAGGAGGCGGCAGGGGAGGTTGAGGGCGGGGGTGGTGAGGGCGCTGTGGGGGACGAAGCGGAGGTGCGGAAGAAGTCGGGGGCGCGTGAGACTGTGAGTGAGGCTTGAGGTTGGGTGTTGGAATCTGGCAAGAGCTGTGCGGGGTCTTCAATCGGATTTCCATGTTTCGGTTAGCGATTTTGATGACTGGCACAACTGTCCACCGTATTATTCCGGTGAGTATACGCATGCTTGCACTAAGAACTCTGTCCTCATTGACGGAACCATATGTAATGATATGTACATTGACGGGATCCAGGTCCCCTGCACAGATATCTCATCAACAGACTCGACCTACTCCCTGATTCATGCACAACCCACGCCAAAATCCTTGCAAACCTCTCTCCCCTGCGCCTTGATGTTCTCCACCAGCCAAAGGCGATAGTTGCTAAAAACCAGCACACCCCCCGGAATGAAAGCAAAGTTGTTGCTCGTCTCGCCGACATAAATCTTACCAAGCAACACACCGTCGGGGTTGAATACATGCACGCCATCGCCGCAGCCAGCCCACACGTTGCCATCAGTGTCAGCATGCACGCCGTCGGGGAAGCCGTTGTCACAAAAGGCAAAAGTGCGCCTGTTGGCGAGACGCTTGCCGGCGATGACGTCAAACGCGTAGATGGTGCCGGGGCCCGTGTCGTTCTTGGTGAACTGCTGGGCGCCCGTGTCGCTGACGTACAGGGTCTTGTGGTCAGGCGAAAACTCGAGGCCGTTGCTCTGGACGAAGCCGTCGGCGACGACTTGGATGACGCCGGTGCTGGGCTCGAAGCGGTAGACCTGCTTGGGGATGACGGGGGCGGGGCGGAAGTCTTGGAAGTAGCCGTAGTCTGGAATGCTTTGTGAGTTTGTGTTCCCTGTTTGTTTGACGGCGTAAAGACTACTTACCGGCATCGGTGAACCAGAGGTCGCCGGTTTCGGCGTGCTGGCGGACGTCGTTGACCGAGGAAAAGTTGCGGCCGAGGAAGGAGGTGAGGAGAGTGGTGGACGTGTTTGTGCCGGGATCGACGGCGATCAAAGCCGAAGGATGCTCGAAATCACCCTCGTCGCAGTAGACGTGCTGGGGAGGCCGCTTGGCGGTGTCGGAGCCGGGGGGATAGTAGGACGAGCCGCCGTTGGCTTCCCACAGGTCGGGGAACTGGGTCGAGGTGATGGAGTAGTCGTCCAGGCTCAGCACGGTGATGTTGATGTTGTCCTGCAGCGAGACGTAGTTGGAGGTGATGTACAGGGAGTTGTCGGGCTCGTAGTAGATGCCGGCCTCGTGGAAGGCCTGCCATTCCAGGTCGGCAATCTTGCGGGCGGTGGCATTGCGGCCGAGGACGTCGGTCTGGAAGGCCGGGTCGAAGTTGAGCAGGGAGATGGCGGGCTCGGCTGCGCTAGTGGCGGGCAGGGTGGAGAAGTAGTTGGCATTGGTGGCCAGCGCGAGCAGGTCGACATCAACAAAACCAGCAGCCATGACGACGGCGATGCACAGCGTCAGCAGAGCGGTCAATTGCACGCGGCGGTCGGAGAGGAGCGAGCGGGCGGGCGGGGAAGGCTCCGGCGTGGGCTCGGGAGGCGACTTCTTATAGTCGGCAGTGCGGGGAGACATGGGGCACCTCAGTCAGGCGGCGCGCTGCCTTGGACGCTGTGAGGGACCGGCGGGGTGTATGCCTTCTCTTGGCCGGCGGGCACGCTTTATGACGTCCCGCACACCAGCCGCCGCGGCCACCAGTTTTTCTCTTATCTGTTCCCCAGACTTCCCCACACGCCGTCCTCCTTCACCGACCGCGACACCCGCGTCACCCGCGTCGGCGTCCACTCTCCATCACCGTCCCCCGCAGCGAGCTTTTCGGCACCCGCTCCCGAGATGCAGCGTCCACCATCGGCGACGGCCAAGAATACCAAGGCGCCGGCCGCCCGCTTGTCTGCCACGGGCCCGGCCTGCCCATTTTTCATCTCGCCGCCTCTGCGTCATCCTGCACTCTGCATCCGCATCTTCGCCCAAGGCCACCAGCCGCACCGCGTCGCGTCGACCTTTCTGCACGCCTAAAACATGCATAACCAGCCTCCAGCCTCGCCGCCAAGGGCCCCTGGACGCAGACGTAGAGGGCCGTGCCTGACGATCGTCTTGGCCGGCAGCCGCATCCGGCCAACATGAGTCGAGGCCTCAACACCAGCTGACTGCAGGGCGAGACCCTCGCGCGAAACGCCTCCCGCGTGGCACACAGCCAGCCAGGCCCGGTGCCGGCCTTCCGTCTTTGTTGATGCCGCATGCTTCGCGTCCATTGTCCGCCGCTCTCCTTGCTGCACTTCCTGTGCATCCACCTCGTTTGGGTAGCACTGTTTTCCTCTTCCAGTGATTAAGCGAGCGAAGGAGCGCTCCCAACCTGGCTCCCCTTCTCACACCATTATCCACCTTCACCTTGCCACCCACGCCCCTTCGTGATTGGCCAGGTCCGCTGACGATGCGAGGAGGAGGTGCCGGGAATGTGGGACGGGAGCGCACCCAAGGGGCTGTTCGTGCCGTTGCATTCCCAGGAGCAGAACATGGAAATTGTCGCTCGTATGCTCCCCCTCCGGCACCGCGCCGTGCGTCTGCCGGATTTATACCCACTGCTGCACCACAAGTCCAAGACATCTGCAACCACGTCGCTCGTTCAGCACCATGTCGCCCTCGTTCTCTTCAGGCCGCTTTGGCCTTGCCGTTCTTTTGATGCTCAATACCCCCCTTGTAGATGCCTACTTTCTGAACTGGAATGCCCACTACCACCACTTGCAGCCTAGACAAGCCACTACCAGCCATGTTGCTCCAGCAACTACCACCACCTCCACCGCTGATCGCCTCATCGAAAACATTGATCGCCTTGACGAGTCCATTCGGGAGCTCCCGAACGACGCCTTGAACTTCCTGGAAGAGGTTGGCGACAAGATCGAGGGTTTGGAGAGCATGTTCAAGAGCATCGTTGGCTCCATCTCACCCACCACAACCCCATCCGAGCCCACTCCGCGCCTGCCCATCCCGAACACTCTGCTGGCCATCAACTCTACCGCCAACGCAACAATCGCAATACCAAGCACCATTGTGCCAACCCCGCTCTCCGAGAACCCAATCTTCACCATCCTTCCCATTTTGGATAGTCTGATTCCTCCGCTGGCCACCGCTGCCTCTGCGGCTGCTTCATTACCTGGGTTTGGGAACGCCACCTCCCTGCTCCTACCGACCGCCCCCGGTGCCGCTTTCACTCCCGTGCTTTCAACCGTGAATGCAACAGAGCCATTTCCCTTGACGCTCCCTTCCACCCCCACGGCGCTTGCTATTGTGCCATCGATTGCACCTCTCAACTCAACATCAGCGCCGTCTCTCTTCAACGCTACCTCGACACCCGTTGCGAACTCCACGGCAAGCTCACTGATTGCAAACACCACTTCACTCGCTGTCTTGGTGAATTCCACCTCGGCGTACGTAAACGCCACCTCCTTTCCGGTTTCCGTCAACGCTACTTCAACTCCTGTTGCCGTCAATGCCACTTCAGCTCTTATCGCCGTAAACGCGACTTCAGCTCCCGTCTTCGTAAACACCACTTCAGTTACTACCATTGTAAATACCACCGCCACAATTCTCATTTCGGGAAACCTTACTCTGGCCACTCTTCTGCCGGCTAATGCTACCACTCCGCTCTTTATCAACAACACCTCTACTGTCGCTTCGGTCAACTTTACTACACCGCCCTCGGCTATGAACGCCACAGCTACGCTCCCGGTTCTGGCAAACCTTACTCTGGCTACTCTTCTTCCAGCGAATGCTACTGCTCCGCTATACCTCAACCCTACGAATGCCACGCTTCCCGTTCCGGCAAACCTTACCATAGCCACACCTCTTCCCGCGAACGCAACTACTCCGCTATTTGTAAACGACACGACCGCTACACTCCCCGTTTCGGCAAATTTTACTTTGGCGACACTTCTTCCGACAAATGTGACGACTGCGCTCTTGCTCAACTCTACAACCACCGTTCCGCAAAACCTTACACTAGCCACTCCTCTCCCCACGAACGCGACTACTCCCCTTTTTATTAACGACACAAGCGCTACACCCTCTATTTCGGCCAATCTTACTTTGGCCACTCTTCTGCCAGTAAACGCAACAGCTCCGCTCTTCGTCAACCTTACGACTGCCACACTTCCTATACCGGCAAATCTTACCGTCTCTACCCCCATCCCGGCTAACGTGACAACTCCGCTCTTCAACTTCACCGCCACCACATCCTCAATCAATGCCACCATAGCACCCCTCCTCCTAAACACTACCACGACCATTCCCCAAGTGCCAGTCAACACCACGTTCGATCTCCGCAATGGCACCTTCACCCTCACTCCCACCAACCTCACCGCCATCCCCTCCGCAACGCCATCCGTGAACACCACCTCACCCTCCCTTAACGACACAATCGCCGTCTCCACCCCCGCGCTCCTCGCCAACACCACCACCTTCCCTGCTACCCTCTCCACGCCCGCCACCACAGCCAATGCCACCCTCATCGACGCCCTAGTCGCCAACGTCACCTCCCTCCTCTCCATCTCCAGCTACAACGCCACGCTCCTAGCCGACTACCTCCAAGGTAACCTCACCGCCACACCCGCTCCGTCCACCATCACCACTCCCACCTCCGCATACTTCAACACCACCACCCCCGCCGCCGCCGCCAGCAACTCCACCACGACAGTCATCTCCTCCATCGCCGTCACCCCCATCCCAATCCCCCTCCGCACCAACCCCGGCGGCCCGCTCATCCCCGCCGCAAACTCCCGCCTCGCCCTCCCTCCCCACACCGTCAACACGACTTTGGCGACGGTAGTAACGGCAGCATCTTCTCCTTCTTCTTCTTCTCCTCCCGCTTCTTCCAGCAGCACGCTACCAGCTCTCGCCCCGCCGCCGGTAATGTACGGCCCCCTCAGCGCGTCCTTCATCTCCGTGTCGGCGTCGCCGGTTCCGTACGCCAACAGGACGACGGACGAGAGCGGCCACGTCCGCCTGCCGACGCGCATGCCCATCCCCGTGCAGGCGCTGAGCGCGGCGGCGAGCGCGGCGAGGGAGAAGAGTAGGGAGGCGGAGCTGAGGGCGGATTCGTCTTCTTCTTTTTCTTCTTCGCCGACGGTGGTGGTGGTGAGTCCGACGGAGTCGGTGACGACGTTTCTGGCGACGGCGACGGGCGAGGGCGGCGTGACGACGGTGTATTTGAGCACGTTGACTGTGACGACGACGGTGCTTGTGACGCCGAGTCCGGTGTGAGTACCGCGGATTAGGGAGGGAAGGATGACCGTCAGGATGATGTTTGCATGAGGGAACGGACTATGCATGGCTTTTGGTTTTTTTTTTTTCTGGCTTCATTCGATTCTTGACGCTCCTTGGTTGACCTTTCCTTATTGATCGTTCTTTCGTCGTTGCGGTGCGGTTTAATGATGGTGCTGCGTCAACGGCCTAACAACGTACGTACGCGTGGCTTCCTATTTGGGTATCTTTTGGATGGATGGAGAATGACGGAGGTAATGACGTACGCGTTTTTATCACAATCTATGAAGAATAATTCCTCTTGGTTGGGTTCTTGGTCATGTGTGTCTTCCAATTGTGTTGCTTGACTGGGGTTGAACATGAACGTGTACGTTGGGAGCCTTGCCCCACATACAATAGACCAAGAGCAAATTGAACCTGTCTGCCCTCTGCGCTACGAGTTTGCAAATATGCTGCCCATCTTAGACTTAGCTTCAAGCCATGTCACTCTTGACTTGTACATGTCAATGGCTAACACGCTGTCCGGGCCCTGATCGGTTTGTACAAATATAACATGACCCCTCCCACCAAGTCATCGAAACTTTAGCTCTATCATCATTATATAGGAAACAGGGGAGTACTTTGACGTTTGGAGTCTCCTGTACTTTAAAACAAAGATTCACACACAAGTATTTGATTCACTTCCTCGCGCTCGGAAGAGTGGAATGTCTCTCTCTACGCACAGGAGGGCACTGGCTACAGCACGCACATTGGTGTCACAATGCAATTCTTCGCAAGAATATACTGTTCTGGAATTTTAGAGCCGTAGCTTTAATCCCGAGTTATCGAGTGCGTGGGGAATCAATAATGCCTTGAGTAGTGGCAGCAATCCCATCCCGCATTGCTCGGAAGAGACGTAGAAAGTTGTCTCGAGCCCAGCAGGCTAACACGCTTCCAGTCCCGTCCGTGAAGCTCCACCAGGATTGATTGTTAGTAAAGCCTGTTGTCCTCAAGAAAAAAAAAACCCGCCAGTCTTGTCCGTTGAACCTTTGTCCCGGGTAAGAATGCTGTGGCCCTAATCATTGAGAAGAAAGAAGAAAAGAAGAAAACTCGATGATGGTGAACACACCGCCGCTCAGTGTTTCCGTTCGCCATATCGCCTTGGTTGTCGCAGATTTCCCGTCCATCTGCAGCGGGGAGGGCACGGAAGTGATCCCTCTTCAACGACCACGACCCATGAGGAAGTCGACGTCCGCATCATCCAAGACGCGATAGTTGTTGCCATAGTCGCCCGAGCCAGTCTTCGTCTTCGGGCTGCCGCCCCTGCCCTTCCGTCCACCCCTCGGGCGCCTGCGCGCAGAGCCGCCGCCACCGTTTCCACTCCCGTCGTTCGATCCGTTCCGCTGACCGTCCCGGCCGTCCGACCCGGCATTGGACGACGCAGACGCCTCGCTCCCACTCCTCCTCCTCAGCTTCCCACCGCGTAGCTCCGGGTCGTCCTCGACGCGAAACCGCTCCGCGAGCTCGGGGCACGCAGCCAAAAAGGCGGCGAGCTGTGCTTCGAACGCGGCGTCGACGACGTGCCTGCGGCGGGCGAGGGCGACCTTTTCGATCAGGCGGCCGACGAGGGCGCAGTCCTTGGGCAGGGTGGTGAGGAGGTCGAGCACGCGGGCGCAGGGCCACGGCTGGCGCTCGAAGGCCGACACGGCCAGGTTGAGCCAGCCGCCGACGGTGACGAGCGCCTCGGTGACGCCGAGCGACAGCGCGGCCTGGTAGATGCGCACGTTGTGCTCGAAGCCTTCCTTGCGCTTGATCGGCATGAAGTCGGCGCTGTCGCACGCGCGCGGGATCCACTCGATGAGGTAGCGCAGCGCCGCCGGCGCGGCCATGCCCGGCGGCAGGAGCACGTTGGTGTATTGCGCGTCCGCGAGGAGCGAGGCGGCGACGGTCGAGAAGGCGGTGAGGGCGGCCCGCGGGACGGTGAGGACGAGGCGCGGCTTGCTTTCGGAGCCGGCGTCGAGCTCGACTGTGGCTTTGGGGCCTTTGAGGAGGGATTGCCGTTCGCGCCGGGGCCAGTTGCGGATGCTGGTGGTGGGGGGCTTTTTTGGGGTGGGCATTCTTGGTGGTCGTGTTGTGGGAAGATGCAAGATGGGAGTAACGGTGGGGTTTTTTGTTAGGATGGAGCTTGGTGAGGAGAGTTTGGGTGTGTGGTTGGTTGAAAGAAGTTGGGTTGTAAGGTGCAAGACATAGGGCAAGGCGGGCCGTTGGCGAGAACGGGAATGGAAGCCATTGATGCGCCTGAAGCGTCAGGTCGCAGTGCAAACGCATGGCGAGAGGCACACGAGTCCTGCTTACAGTCACGGATCCGACTGGGCGCCAGATGCATTCGTTCAGACAATGAATACAATGGCACAAGCATCATCTAATGCGGCATTGCCACCGCATTCTGGGCAGATCGCATGCATGGAGTGAGCACAGCGATTCGCCAGTGGGGATAGCACGCCAAGTAACGTTCCAAGGGGGGGAGCGGGTGGGAGAAAGTGCGGGTGAGGGACGGCATATCGCATGCAGCAGGAGATGCAGTGGTGAGGCTCGGGAACAAACAGAGCCAAGACTTATCTCACGGGTCAGCCGCTTCGCACGGGCCTCAATTAGTCACAATAGTACACCAATCAAAGCTAGGCCAAGCCTTTTAGCGTCGTATTATTAGATCGTCCCTCTGCGAAGCGTCTAAGCACATTTAGGCCCAACTTTACGTATATTTATTACACCCTAAATCGTTTACTTTAATATTGCTTTATAACTACGTTATTATTCGTTAGCGCGCACACCTGCAGCGATTCTTTAAAATATAGGCTTTTAACTAGTCTAGAATTAATAGTAATAGCTACGCTAAGTTATATCGATATATAGCCTTAAAGACGTAAAAAGGATACGTAGTTCCGTTATACTTATTATACCCTCCGCTTTATCGCTCGTATATATAATATAACACTCTAACTATCTCTAAATATATATACTAAGAGTAATAAAGCACTACTAAAACACCTCGTGTTATCCGTTTACGTAAAAAAAGGCGTTATTATAGAGTACTTTAGTTAAACCGGAGGTACTATTATTATAGCTTACCCTCGAAATTTATACGTACCTAGCGGGAACCCGAACTACTAAGTAACTACTAAGTAACTACTAAGTAGTGTTTCTCTTATTTTTGCCCGTAATTACTAGAGAACCCAACTACTAAGTAACTACTAAGTAGTATTTCTCGCTCTAGTCGGTTGCGGTAGTCGAAGACTCTAACTTCTAACTAACTACTAAGTAGCGTTTATCGCTATAGTCGGTCGCTATAGTCGGTCGCAGTAGTCGGTCGTAGTAGTCGGTCGTAGTAGTCGGTCGTAGTAGTCGGTCGTAGTAGTCGGTCGTAGTAGTCGGTCGCGGTAGTCGGAGAACCTAACTACTAAGTAACTACTAAGTAGTATTTCTTAGTACTTCGTCGTAGTAGTTAGCCGTAGTGGTCGGAGAATCTAACTACTAAGTAACTACTAAGTAGTATTTCTTAGCACTTCGTCGTAGTAGTTGGCCGTAGTGGTCGGAGAACCCAACTACTAGCCAACTACTAAGTAGTATTTCTCCGGTTTCGCCTATAGTTATTAGAGACTCTAACTACTAAGTAACTACTAAGTAGTAAGTAGTATTTCTTATAGCGGTAGGATGTTGTCTTATCTTCGCCTACTATATCTAAGAAGTAGCTTATAATTACCACCGGCTTAGCTATTAGTATCTTATCTATCGAGGTCTATCTTTCCTTCTTACCTATCGAGATCTATCTTTCCTCTATCTATCGAGGTCTATCTTCCCTTCTCGACGGTAATTAGTAATACTATCTCGAGCGTAACTAGCGCGACCCCTACGTCTACGGAAGAACTTAAGGCCTAGCTCTAGAAGGTACGGGCGATAATCGTCTCCCCCCCCGCCTTCTATTATTATTTCGCCCGTAGAGGTCCCGCTATCTATCTCGCTCTCTCCCGCCGAGGTCTCGCTGCTATCGGAGGAGCTTACTATTCCTACTAACGTTCTCTATCTCTTTTGCCTCGCTCTCTTCCGCCGAGGTCTCGCTGCTATTAGAGGAGCTTACTACCCCCGCCGACGTCCCCTATCTCTCCTATCTTACTCTCTCCCGCCGAGATCTCGCTACTATTAGAGAAGCTTACTACCCCCGCCGATATTCTTTATCTCTTCTACCTCGCCCTCTCCCGCCGAGGTCTCGCTACTATTAGAGGAGCTTACTACCCCGGCCGACGTTCTACTTTAGCTTCTATCTCTTATCTAGTTCCTTCGTCTAGTTACGATTAAATTATCCGCTCTTATCTCGAAGCTCTACTAGTAGCTCTTATCTCGAAGCTCTACTAGTAGCTTTTATCTCGAAGCTCTAATAGTAGCTCTTATCTTAAAGCTCTAATAGTAGCTCTTATCTAAAAGCTCTACTAGTAGCTCTTATCTCGAAGCTTTATTAGTAGCTTATATCTCGAGGCTCTATTAGTAGCTTATATCTCTAAGCTCTACCTAGTAATCCTCCCTATCTCGCCTTCTATCGCTATTCCGCCCGTTAAGGTCCCGTTATTCTCTAAGGAGCTCTTTATTCCCGCCGAAGTCTCGCTATTTATCTCGCCTACGGCTTAGCCGGTTTTGCCCGCGTTTACCGGAGACCCTAACTACTAAGTAACTACTAAGTGGCGGTTTTCTAGGTTTTACCCGCGTTTACCGGAGAGATCTAACTACTAAGTAACTACTAAGTAGTAGTTCTCCTAGTTTTACCCGCGTTTGCCGGAGAGGTCTAACTACTAAGTAACTACTAAGCGATATTGTCTCTAGAATCTATATATATTTAGCGGGGAACCCAACTACGAAGACTTACTAATTAACTACTAAGTAGTATTGCTCTTAGAGATATGCGCCGTAGTAAGAAGAAGAGTAGTAGCGGTAATAAAAGACGGAGAAAGTTTAAGTAGTAACGGATAGTATCTATACTATCGTCTCTTAGGAGTTTACTTACTAGTATAATTCTAACGATTTCTTAGCTCCCGTTAGATAGGCTATCCGACGTCGTAAATAAGGCTAAGCTATACCCCGATCTATAGGTTAAGATTCTTAAGGTATACCTTACGCGTATTCTCGGCGGGGGGCGTAGGCCTCGAGAAGAATAGACCCGTATTCTTCGACGCTTAATCTTTAGTTATAGAGATACTATACTCGTCGCGCGTACTAGGTTTAGTAAGAGTATAATCTTCTATACCTTTTCGATCTTAACGGCGAAGATTACTATTTAGATTATCCCGTTAATCTAGCTTAGGAACGAATAACTCGATAGTATCTAGTAGCTAGACGGGACCCGGCCTTATATCGTCGACTTCTAGCGTAAGAACGCTACGTTAATGCGCGATATCGCCGCTAGTATATATATATACGTATTATTAAGTCCGGAGTAGGCTATCTAGGACTAGTTTCGACGTATACTAGAGAAGCTAAACGACTATAATAAGGTGGGTATAGTTACTATTAACGAGTACTATCTTATCTATTAATAGGGTGGATCTACCGATACGGACCCCTCTACTAAGGGCTTCCGACCCGCGTTTCTAGAAATAGACTACTTAAGATTATGGCTCTATAAGGACGTTATCTAGTTTAGATATTCGGCTATATTATATAAAGAGGCTAAAGCGGCGGCCCTCTAGTATAGCGGATTTCGTCCGGTCGGCGAGCGTTTATACTAGATATAGGTTATTAAGACGTCTATTAATCGTCCGGATATTACTATTTATATACGCCCTATTCCTCGTAGCTAGATTAAGAGTTTCGTATTACTATATTTCCTCCTAGACTCTAGTATTATCCTAGGTAAATATACGCTACGGATAATTCCGAAGACGGTCGTCTTTATCGATTCGACTATTACTATTCCGTATATAGTAGCGTTCTTGCGGAAGGCCCTTCTATAGAAATATTAGTAGTATTCGCACTAAGGGGACGACGAGTATATAGTTACTAATATTATCGAGGAGTATAGTTCTATCGTAGTAAATACCGACCGCCGCCGTAGATATACCGAGTTCTACCGGCCGGGTTCTACTACCCGGATAATAATTACGATAACTTATCTTAGTATAGGAGTTAATATCGTTAATATCGAGCGTGTCGTTATATATAATTTCCCTCTAGGAAGAGACATTAGCGACGTATAGTAAAGACTAGGGCGTAGTAGAAGAGAGAAGGATCGAACTAGTCTATATATTATCTTTCTACCGTATTGGGTCTTCGATAGTAAGGGGCGGGACGGGCGATATACGGCTAACGGGAAGCGTGGTCCTCTTAAACGGGGTAGTACGATTAGAAGGATACTACCGGCCGATCGTAGGCGAATACGAAATTAAAGGAGTCGGTTAAATACCGTCGCTACGCCGGGCGATACGGGCGAAGAAATACTAAGCGTATACTCGTTAGGAATATCCGCCTTAGATAGAGAGAGTCTTATAGACGATAGTAGTAGTAGCGATCTTCGACGTATTTGGCCGGCTAACGCGGTAGTCTAACGAGCGAATCTACCGGCTACTTAGAAAGAAATAGCGAATAGTAGCTATTACCGTCGTACGTTCTTAGTATATTTCGGGGAGATCCTACTACGGCCGGACGAGTCGAATATAGCAGCTCCTCCCGAACGGTGTTATAATAGGTATAACCTATTATTAAGTCTAATCTTTATAGCCGCGCCGTCGTCTATAGCATCGACTACGGCCCTAAAGATAAATACTCGTACGGGATTCGCGTTAAGTCTTATTAATCGATAGGTAGTAGATCGAGGGCGGATACTAGTATCGAATCCTCGATTTTCTATATCTCCTTCGTATTATATGCCTAGGGACTACCGTTGGTAACTCGCATATCTATTCGCTGGTGTTAAAGGGGGTGAGTTTTAGAAGTCTCTAACTATAGAGACTATTTCTAAGAATATACCGCTATTAAGGGACTGGAAATATCGAGATAACGATATAGATGTATTAATAGAGCTTATCTAGTCTACCCCCGTCTATATCGACGCCGAGTTTGCTTAACGTCGGCT